AAATTTTTTTATTTAAATCCTGTGTACTTTCTTTCATTGAAGTTAACAAACTTTTGGGAAGCCTCTCATAAATGTTGTAGGAAAGGGCAATATTGCATAATATTTTTTGTATATTTTCAACTTGATTTTAAAAATGGCAGGCATCCTAGACGACAGTTAGCCATTATGTCTCAAACATGGGATGTGTCTTGGAAAATTGCTAAAGATGAGGATGCAATATTTAGCACAAAAAAATGTATTGCAAAAAATTGAACAGAGATGAAAGTTGCATGAAATGAAACTGGAACAAGATCTTAAGTGATGTTGATTCTGAGTTTTGAGGTTTTAGACCTGTGAATCCCTCAAAATAGCATGAAGCTATCAGGACAAAAAATCCAATCTCAAAAAGAAATGGGGGGAAAGGACTTCTTTGGATATTAAGAATGGCTGGGAAACTCATCTGATCACAACATTTGTGAGCATCCCTCAATTGTGAAGGACTGATTAAAAGAAACGATGCATGAATAATGAAATAATCAATTTTCAATAGATGATGAGAGAAAAATGTGATGGTGTTGTACATCTTGAAATATATGATGTTGAATATTCTGAAATTTGTTGAAACTTTTGCCTGAAAGAATCAGGGCATTTTTTACACACACATGTTGGTAACACAGAGTTCAAATTTTACAATAATATTGTGTGATGATAAGAAATCATGGACAACTTTTGTTTTTGGTCAAACTCATCTGGTTTTGTCTGAAGGTTGGGGCAGGTATTTTGTACCACATTTTGTACCTTTACATCATATTTAAACCAGTCAATTTCAACAATGATGTACTAGTATGCCATTGGAAATGGATGGGTTACTGAAGGTAACTTTTCATCAAATTGTAATAAATAACAACAAAGAGCAATCCATCAGTCTCCAATTGTGTACATCATTGGTGAAATTGGCTGGTTTAAATATAACTTACTAGTAGGTATTTGGATGTGAATGCATTAAATGAAAGTAGTGACATGCTTATTGCCTGATGGAAAACTGGCACCAGATACCTGTCCCCTCACTCCTTTGCTCCAACCCTAAGTGCTCAGCATTTCCTCCCCCTTTCTTAGGGGATAAGTAACTTAGAACCTCCCATGCTCCCCTTACACTCCATAATATGAACCTTTGGCTATGCCACTGTGCTTTCAAGATGAAAATGAGGGTGAGTGGACATTGACTTCAGGATGCCCCACTATTGAAAAACTCTCTGCATGCCACAGCTGAAAATGCATAGAAGACAAGTGCAAGATTGTCTCCTTAAGCCTGATTGTATTATATAAGCACCCACCCAAAAAAGCAGTTGTGGGTGTCATGCAAGTAAAGAGCCAAGAAAACCTCCATCCCATATGGCAGAATAATTTGTTTTACAGAGGAGGATTTCATGACTACACCACCAACTGCATTGCTATTTTTTTCCTGGAAAATTAAGAAGTATAAGACCAGGTTTTAAAAAGAAAACTATGAAATTAAATATGCATTTCTAGGAATAGGAGTGATTAATTAAATTATGTTAAATTATGTGCAAATTTCAATTTTGTGGTTGTCCAGGTTTATTTTATTCCATTACTTGTTGCAATTATTAAAAATCAAAGAAAAACTAAACGCAGAAAATAAATTTTCTCTGATACTCACTTTTTAAAGCTCATCGCCATACATAAATGAATGTGGGAGTGAAACTCAGCACAAATCAGAAAAAATCGTTTTCAAGGCTCACAAGGGCCACCTAGGAAAAAGAGCTGCTTGGCATGTCTTACACAAAAATTTTATTTCAGTGAAGGACTTTATTTTCATTGAATAACAAGGATTTGAAAAAAAAGAAAACTATAAAACCATGCTGCACAAGCACATTGAAGTAGGAGAGGCTGAACACCACAACTGTAAATCTTAATGATTGCACATTTTGATTTCCTCCTTATCAGAAAATTCCACTCACACTTAGATAATTTTATTATTATCAGGTACTGCATTACTACAACCTGGATGCTGTACACCACTGCATTACTACATTATTCAAACTATATCTGTAAAGAGCATCCAGCAATCCTGTGTGGTTGTTGTTTAACAATGTAGCAAATGTATAATTCAGTTCTGGTATTTTCCCAGTTGCTCTAAAATATGGCAGGCTTGTAGAACTCCAGAGAAAAGGCAAAAGATACATCACTTCCAGCCACTGACCTCTCACAGTATTCCAACTTCTCCAAAATTTAGTAAAATTTAAATTTGAAGTGTTAAAAATTTTCTTTGGAAAGTTCTCTTTGCCTCTTTTGTTTTTATTTATTATTTTTTTTTATCTCAAAACAGCATTCTACATGCAATTCAAATTTGATTAAGCATACCCTATTCACACTTTAAACCCTTGACATGGTATTTTTTCATGGAATATTTGTTGTTTTTAAAGTCTTCAATACTTTAACCAGTGTTAACTTGAACCAGTGCTGCTAGGCAACAAGAGAGGTAACAGAAACCTTGCCACTCCATTCACAACAAACTCAATGTCACTCACAATTTAAACTTTTAATTGAAAGATTGAAAAAAACTACCATGACGAAGTATCCCATCAAATAATAACAAGGGGTTAACTGTGTTCTCTTATCAGAAGGGGAGGCTTTTTTTTTTACAACTATGGCTGAAACATTTGACATTCATAAGTACACAAGATGTAAGTCCACTTTTAGTCTTTCTTAAAGAAGCATTGCAAGTTAAAAACTTAAACTTTTATTATGTTTACAATTTTGACTCAACTTCACTATTTAATATTGATACTCAGTAAAAAAAAATGTATTAGACATGCCAGGAATTTTTAAACATATAGAGGAGGGGGGGGAAAGGCCTACTGTTTTCAATAGAAGAAACACAGCTTCATAAATGCAAAAAATTAAATACACGTTGGCTATGTGATCAACATCGGACAGTTACAAGGTGTTGAAATGCATGTCAGTTTTCCTCAGCACCCTTGCCCAAGTCATGCATTGCCCATTTACACTTTAGAGGTGGATCATTCCACCTCAAGTGAAGTAATGATCTGTGCTTGACCATCTCAAAATTCAAAGAAAATTGACAAACACTGGGATTATTTTGAGAATAGCCAACAGACAAAAAAACATGTATGGAGGCCAAGAAAAGTAAGCTTTAATTTGGCCCTGAGGGCACATTGCCTCCAACCCCAAGATGCTAACTTTTTGACAACATGGTTATGGTAATGTCACCACCCTATTTTGATTGACCATAACTTTTCAAGGGACACTTGGATGCAGCTGATACTTAACAGAGAGGTTTTTTAACATACCACATACCACATACATTCTAAGAGGTTTTTTAACATACCACAAGATGGCACTGCATGCTAATACAGGGTGCTGTTATTGACTGGAGTCTCCCCTATGTTTGTGCTATGCTACTTTTTAGGTAGTAAAAAAAAAAACTTTACATGAGCTTCTCTGCCAAATGTTAGTTGCATCTGTGCACCCCTTCAAAAGATATGGTCTTGAAACCAATTTAAAATATATGAATTTGGCCAAAATGAGTTTAAGGCCAAAACTGGGCAAACTACTTCAATTGAATTCTGTGATGATGGAGCATAGACCATTACTGCACATGAGGTGTAATGATCCACCTGTAAACTTTGTAACAGGACAATGCATGGCTCAGAGAATTGTTCAAACAAAAACCAGACAGTCATCTCAACACCTTGTAAATGTCCAATATCAAGAGAGTTTGACTTATCATTTTTGTCACATAAATGAATCTTACTTTCTCCCAATATAGAAAATGGTAAGGTCCAAATGCACAAACCTCATTTAGGGGAGATAAAGTGGCCTTTAAGCTGAAGCTCTTTTTCTCTCGTAGGAGTCCATGCATTCTCAAAGGACCAAGGAGGTTTGTGAATTCAGGCCAATTGTCTTTTTAAATCACCCTATATCTAATTTTAAAATTCCAATATCTTGAAGCCTTTTCTTAGCACTTGTATTCCATACACTTCATAAGATTAGGGCAGCTGGAAAATTTACACATATAAGGCATTTTTCTGCTTGTGCGCTTCACTCTGAAACTACCCAACATACTCCTAGAATGGCCCTACATTCAAAACCCAACATTTGTCAGTGTGGTTGTTCCACAAGTAAATATCCCAGGGCTTGTTTTATTTATTGTCCTCCTCATTGCTGTCTCTCACAGTAATCACTAACCACTCTTATTGATATTTTTGTTTGTAGATAGTGAATATACAAAGGTTCATTTTAGTTCTGGTCTAAATGCAACTCTCCATGTGCTTATGGCAACATACAACTTCAACAGTGGTCCATCAATGAAGGTCTTTTGGCCAGTGAATCTCAAACTTCAACCATTTTCATCATTTAGACCACACCAGAGGGGTTGCAATTTCAGACTGAAGTGGAGCTTCAACAGTTCCATAAGTGTCATAAATTTCTAGGTGAATACTTGCGATGAACCTTAGCTGGGATGCACATGTTGATGTAAGTGTGTCACAAAAAAATCAAACTTGTGTGATGCAACATTTCTGCTATTGTGCTGTTCATACATGCCCATGAAGACTCCTACCATATTTGCACATTACTCCTTTCACAACCACTTTTATATCAGAATTTACATGGATTTTCGTAACATGGAGCAATATGTAGCCCAAAACTTAATTTACATATTACTGCATTTCTACAAGGGAAAACTCTTGATTATTGTTAGAGTGATGCACAACCTAGAGACTCTGGACTATATGCAGCCACCTCCCAACTGGATATAGCAAAGATGGGTCTCCAAAGAGCAGTCCTAAATGTCTCTTTGATAAATGGGTATGGCAAATATTATTTTTGGTATTATCTATGGCCACCAAACATAGGTTGAAATCTCAATTCCATATTTACAGAGTAAAGGTTGTATATCACTGCTACAAGAGATTGCTTTTGAAATACTTTCTACCAGTAGCTTTCTCAACACTAACCACAGAATATGGTGCACTAACCCATGGTCATTCGAGATGGAAGGCCATGTGGATTGAAGATGATATCAGGGGTGAGGCCATTTTCTGTCCAAGGGAGGTCCTCTGTCTTGTATAACATGCTGCATATTCCCTTCTGACCGGCACGACTGGCAAACTTATCCCCCACACTTGGAGGACGCTTTGGAATCATGAAAAAACTTTGAACTCTTCTTGAAAGAGTCCAACAGATATACTTCAAAATGATGAAGGATTAGCCTCACATGCATACGGAGTGTAATACACACTCTGGGATAATCCTCTCCCAAGCCTTCCCCAGCAGGACAGAACCTAACAGTGTCCACATGAGCAGTCTCTGTAGACTTGTACCTCATGGTGCGATATCGACCTGTTCCTGCATCATAGTACCTGCAATAATACCAGTAATGGGTCTGCATTTTTTGTTCCTTCATAACATATTAGAAACTTAGCAAGCCCTTACGAATAGAAAGCATCTCCTTCATTCAGTCTAGCTCCAATAGGTGGGAAACCATCATCTTCCAGCTGACTCTTCTTCTTTTCCTCAGGGTCTCTTCCAAAGAAGCTTGCCTGGAAAGGCATTGGCTCATATCAACAGGAGGTCTATCATTGAAAGTCATGTACAATGATGAAAAGAGCACAGCTAACAAATCCTCACCAGGGCAGTCTTCCTTTCCCCAGTCAAGTCCTTCAGATCAATTACTTCTGACTTGTAGATGCAAGCATGAGCCAAGCCACGTTCCATGCTTGCTTTGCTGATCACCATTGCATCTTCCATGTCATATCCCTGTCATAATAAAGGTAGGATTCAGAACAACAGAAACAAACTCAAACAATTGTGTATATGAGATAATTGTGTATACTCACTGTATATGAGATCACAGCAACAATGGCATTGGTGCCAACAGGGTAGTCATCCAGCTGTATACGATCATACTGGGCTGGACGAAACAGCGGGGAGGTGGGTGTGATGAGCCGATATTGCTTTGTCTCTGGTCGATGACGCATGCAATGAAAGGCGGTTCCCATAGTCTGCTTAGACATCTGCAAAAAATAATCATAAAAACAGATTTACTATATTATAATGTACAAGTCAGGATTTGAAAGGAGGATTTGAGAAGCAGAGGAGCCACCTGGCATTGGAACATGTTGCGAGGACTTTGGTTGTGGTCTGGCAAAGGAATCAGGCAAGCAAGATTGCTCATCATGCTGATGGCAGACAGCTCCATGTGTGTTGTCATATCCTGGGCAAGTCAGAAGAAACCCTATCAAAAGAACATCTTCAATGCATGTCTTGAAGGAATGGAATCACTCACTTCTCGAACTTCATCCGATGTAACAGCAATATGAAGGTAGACTTGCTCAAGTACCCCAATCATCTCTACTGATCTGGCATAAATGTTGAAAATGGGACGCATGAGACGGCTTGGTCCAGCAAACAGAAAGATCCCTGGCCACTGACCACCACGACTCCCAGCTTCTGGCTTTCCCAAGTTTGGCACATACCCTATCTCCAAAAAACGTGACACCTAACACATAATGAGATGGGTCTATTAGAGTCATCACATATACTTGCATCTAAATGATGTTAGCCAATAGTTGTCTCACCTTTTCTCCTGCAATTTTGAGCATGCGAAGTTGCCAGATGAAATCCCTTGCTCGGATGACGTGCACGTGTCCAATGAGTCTCCCATCAAGCAGGACAGGAAGAACATGCAAAGATCCTCGTGGATAGGCCATGCTGTCCAAGGGTATCATTCCAATGGCACACAAGAGTTCTGGATATTTGCTGGTGTCTGCCTGTGATGTGATGATCTCACAGTTCCACGTTAGATGATTCAAAAGCCCACATGGTGTTCCATCAGGTGTATGGATGGGACAAATGAAACCTGCAACAGATGGCTAAGAATACATTTTAAAAATTTAACTCCATTTCTTAACAAAAAGTGGTCACCAAACTCACCCCAGGCCTCTGGAAGGAGCTTTCGGACTTCAGAAGTTCTCATCTGCAAAAAGAAGCTTCCTCTATGCAAGGCACGAAAGTGGGATATGTATCGAAGCCAGTTGATGTTTTCCAGCACAATAGTGAGGCCTGAATATAAATAAAATATCACATTGTTACCATTTGCAAGGACAAAATAAAGGCTAAACCAGCAATCTATTTAATAACCTTAATTTGAAGTGGTGGAGGGGGGCTTTGAAGGCTAAGGTCTGAATGCACAAACCTCATTTGGGGGAGATTAACCCTCTCATGACCCTATTCCAAAGTCTTGTCAAACAAATTACACTAGGAGTCTGTAAACAAAAAGAATGTTTATGAGTGCTTTGGCCAGGAGCAAAAACTTTGTCAAGAGCACTTTTGAATAATTTAACCAGGAGAGGGTTATGGAACCTTTAAGCTAAAGAGCTCTTTTTTCCCATAGAATTCCATGTATTCCCAAAGGACCATTAACTAAAGAAGGTTTCAGCATTCAGGCCTAAGACTTTAAGGGGGGGCAAGGAATGCCCTATGTTAAAGCATTTACCAGTTCTTACATGAACTTTGACTAAATCTGTGCTGTCCAACATCAAGCTTTATTTTTTGTAAGACATTAAATGTATTGGACATAAGACATCTGACTTATTTGGTTATTTGGTGTTGGTACACAAAGGAAGGAGATGCCTGTTTGGCACAGACATGCACACCAAAACTGATATGGCAGTCTTCCAGGCAAGGATGCCCCCTCCATGGTCCTGGAGGAGTCCTGGGGGCAGCCTACAGGTTGCAAGAGCCCATGACTGGCAAGAATGACTTTTAAGGTGCACAACACCAGTAACCCCAATGCTAAGTATGGTACTCCGCAGAAAGCAGATGAGTCACCGGTTGTTGAAAGAGAGCCTGCTGCCACACAGACTTCACTGCCTGTCACCCAAGTCTGTGTCTTGAGCCAAAACCACTTGGCCACTCAACCTCACCAACATCAAACTTTGGTTTGTGTAAAAAAAAAACATTAAACTTTCCATTGTCCTCTCCTCTCATACCAGTTCTATGTACCAGAAGCGATGAGAAAACTGCAGCATTCTCTTCTGAGTTAAGGTTTCCTTCCTTCACTCTGCCAAGTCAGATACAGAGATGTCAGTTAGAAAATTTGGAAAGACCTCTTAAAAATGAATGGATAGAGTTAGGCCAGGATGCACAAACCTCCTTTAGTTAAAGATCCTTTTCACTAGAACTACCAGAGCTGTCGATTTCACCGCTATATTAAAAGTAGTATTAAACATAACATGTTATTTGTCATTTCCAGACGTAATTTGGTAAGTTCAAATGCAAAAATATTCTAAATGTAGACATTCGATAGGGAAATTAAAAACTGCAGAGGCCCTTAATTGCCAAATAAGCAGGGAAAGTGCATAAAAAAATGGCAAGAGGTCAAAACAGCTGCCCAAGTAGTTCTAGTGTTAAGAATACATGGATTCCTATGAAGAAAAAAGAGGTCTTTATCTTAAAGGCCTCTTTATCTTGCCTAAATGAGGTTTGTGCTTTGGGCCCTAGATTCTCAGGACTAGATGGTTGCCATATGTAGAACCATGGAGGATTCACATTCCATTCACTGATAATTTACTCACTTTTAATCATGCTGAAAGGTCTTGGTTCAAGCAAATGTGAATGGAAAATTGTTACATGGAAATTTCCTCTCTGGTTTTCCAAGGGGAAAAAGATCTCATCCTGGAAGATTCTGGTAGAAGTTGTATGGACATAAATTTATTGCTTTTATTAGTGATTTAAATTTGGCTCCACTAAGTTGTGGAAATCTAAGTTCCAACAAGGGGTCTTCTGGCATATTGCAGAATAATGGAGGAGCATGCTTATGGTTACAAGAAAAAAAAATGTAAGTGGTAAAACCTGAATAATTCACAATTATAACCCTACTTTCTGAAGAAATTTTCAAGCATGAAACCTCCTCAATAGAGGGGTCCATGTCATAACATCCCTTATGTAGAAATACCTTAGAAAGTAACAATGTACAGTTTTGCACTTGAATAAATTCTCCCAATTGACAAAGACATTTCACACTTGCCTGAATTTTGTGGTACGCTAGTAGAAGACTTGAGATTCAAATTGCCAGTTCCCAGAAAGTTCTCCATGGCTTTTCCCACATGATCTGAAGTTGTCCTCACAGCCTTAGCCATCTCAGCTGTTAAATAATGAACTTTCTGCTTGAACCATACTAAAATGCATTCCAATCAAATAGAACAAGACAGCAAACAAACCATGATCCAGGTGAAAGAGATCCTGATTTCGAGACCGATGGATCAGCTGATTGCGCACAAAAACAAGAAAGTTTTCCACCTGGTCTTTGAGCGCTTGAAGAATAACATGCCCAGCAAGGCACACCTCCCACATCATTGGAGAATCAGGTGATTCTGGTGAACAGCCATTTGATACATATGAAAAGAGCTTTTTGGTCATGAGGACCAGGAGGCGAAACTTGTCCTGACGGGTGTTCAAATGCACCAATACACATTCACTGAAAATCAATTTTGACAGAAAAATGTCAACACTAGCAGAAAAAATATATTCTATGTCAAATAATGATTAAATTCAACAAAGAGCATACTCAATGAGAAAATCAGCAACATCTTCATCAGGTTTGGACTCAGGTACATGGAGAACAACTTTGTCATGGAAGCACTGGCCAATAAACCTCTTCATGTCCAGCTGTGTATACAGCTTCTCTTCCTGAAGGACCCTGAGCATGTTCTTCACACAACTGCAAAAAAAAAATTCCTCCATGAACAGGAAAATTAGAAGATCCATTAGATTAGATCCATGAAATCAGATCCTTAATTCATTTGCACACCTGAGATAGTATAGATTATCCTCCATGCCAGAGATGAGTTCTTCATAGATGAACTTGTCAGAGACATCCACCAAAGCCTTCATGACCATCATGAGGGGAGCAAAGTACATTTGTTTGCTGAAGCTGAACATAATCTTTGCTGTCCCATCTCGAAGGTAGTGCAAGACATTGTTCTGAAAAATAAAGATGCCACACTGTAAAAATGGTATCTATTGAGGACCTTCAGAACATGGAATATATTCTTACGGTGGAGGATTCATCATCTCTGACACATCGAATCAAAACTCCTTGATCAGAGAAGAGCTTCCCCCTCTGCTTCCATGAGCTGCGGGACAATGCCAAAGGATAGTTTCGCCTCACATTCACAAGCATTCGGATCAGTCGCTCATGTCCCTTGACAACAAAATATCCACCAATCTCATTCTCTTCTTCACCCATCTTCACTCGCTCTGCTGGAGGCAGGCCATGGAGATTGCAGTGCTTAGACTGACAAGTAAAGGAAGCAAAAACATCTCAATCCAAAATATGCATATAAGTTCATGTTTTCTGCAGCATCAAATATGAGAAAAGAAAATGAAGAAATCAAACATTTGCAGGGTGACAATTACCTTCACCATGATAGGCACTTCTCCAAGTAATTTTCTGATGGGCTGACCAGAAACTCCATTAATTGAATAACCAATATGGCAAAATAACTTCCCAGAATAGGTAATATGCCTCTCTCTGCACTCACGGGGATATATCTTGAATTTTCCCACATCATCAGCATCTTCTGAAAGTGTGGGAGGCTGGAGTTCCACATCCTACAAAAGCAAGAGCAGTTTTTTTTTTGGAATTAGCAATTCCAATCTCTTACTTATTAACACTTTAGCTGCCATACGACCCACTGGCAGGTCGTAAGGGCTCTCTTCTCCTGGGTCATATGATCTGCTGGTGGGTGTACAGGTCTCTTCTACAAAATCATATGACCTGCCAGCAGGGGGTTTGTGTTGCTTTACATGATATGATCTATTGGCCTCTTCCATTCATCTTACAAATGTTATCATTGCCTCTTGATAAGGTCAATTTAAAATAAAGTTGATGGTGTTTCTTGACTCATATTTTTTAAATAATGTATTCAAATATATGCATGTCAACATATAAGGGTGAAATGGAAATTACTCACTCATGTCTGCATATTTAGGAAAATTTAATCAAATGTTGCCCACTAGGCTTTCCTAAAGCTTTTGAAATTATATGAATTCATGGATACCCATTCATGAGTTATAGCATATTTTGTTGAAATGGTAAAGAAATAAGTGAGCAAGTATGCAACTGCTGTTGCAAGGCACAAATCCAAATTGCATGAGGATGCCTGAAAGTGCATGCAGATTCATGAACTTTTATGGTTGAGTACACACTTCCGACAACATTCTATTATTTTTGGCAAGGATCCATCCAGAGGAACTGATCCATCAGGCAAAAATCAAATGTGGACTTGTGCCTCACCATTGGCAGACACATGCATGTTCACTTGGAAAATTTGACCAATTCGATTAAATATGCCATAATTCAAGAGTTGATGGACAAGGGTGCATACACTTCAACAGCTCTTGAAGAAACTTATCAACAAGGTATCCTTACATTTTCAAGTCAATTCACTGCAGAATTTATTCTTTAAACAAAATTTTCAAGTTACTTAATTTTTTTTTCAGCCAACCCTCTAGTTCAACCTGACTTGCAACACACATTTCCTTTTATTTGTAAAGAGCTTAAAACAGACTGTAACCCATTCTTGGCAAATTTGTCCAACATGTTGGTTGCAGGTGACTGACAAGCATCTGTGTCTTTGAAGCAGTGGCCATTTATAGAAGGCACCTCATTTTTGGAATCTGTGTGAAGTCTCAAGGTTCGAGGTCCAAAAAGAATACGAAAGATGTGGGAGCAATGGCACTCCAAGATTGGTCAGAAATTCAAAGGTACTGCATAGGTACTGTTTGATTCCTGGCAGTCATTGCAGACAAGCACAAAGTTTCCTCATTACAGCTTGTCAATTGCCATCCACTGCATTCATCATCTCCAGTGGACCCCCATCTTTTGTGGAATTGCTTATGTCATGCACACCAGAATTATAAGAATTACTTTGGTCTCAGGGAAATGACCTCCAAAAAATGGCTTAGCAGCGAAAGTGTTAAAAGATACATAATCAGGGATTGTCAAAAAAAAAAAAAGAAATGCCCAAGAAGAGGCTTGCTTGAGGGATTCACAATCACAAATGATTGACTTTTCATCTGCTTCTTTTATGGCTATATTTTAAGTCTTACAGTTGTGCATAAACTGAATACATGGGATATTGGGGACAGGTGAGTGACTCAGTAATGAACTTGGCTCCCATGGCAGGGGACCTGGGTTCAAATCCAAACATGTCCAGTGTGTTTATTTCCAAGTGCAAGCCCCAGCATGCCAGGGAAGGGAGATGCCTGAGCAAGTAAAACACCTGTATCAGGATGTAAGACATTAACCCTTCAAGTGAGGAATTTCTCAAATAGAAGTCTCCTGCCAGGGTCAGGACTTTCTTTTATGAGAGTTAGTGTTTGTGTAAGAAATGTACTACTCTTTTTTTAGTTTATTTTCCTATTTTGAGTTTCAAGCTTATATTTAACTAAAACTTGAAAAATAGCATGCAAAAACATGTCAAAACCACCTAGGGAGCATTTCACCATTATACTGTAGATATATAGGGTGAGTCAGAAGACCAGTGTCATAAGGAACAGATGTCCATGTGATGGAGGAAGCTTTCCCTCAAGTGCTGGAGGGTGTTGAGTGTGACTGCTGCACATTCATTATGCACATTGCATAAACATTGTGTATTGAACATAATGTTGTCAGTCCCTATGAGATTGAACTTTTGACTCACCCTGAACACATCATACCCACTTAAAGAAGTTAGTGATCCCTAGCAGTGAAGGCCAAACCCAGGTAGCATATCCTAGAAGTAACTGCATGGGTCACTTGGGAGACTCAATGTTATAGGAAGGGAGGGTGGGTTAGCTGGCATTCCAGAGTCAGGGGGCAGTTATGGGCCAAGAGTCTCTTGCATCTGATACCTTATCATCTATATCAGGGGTGTCAAACATACAGCCCGAGGGCAGGATCTGGCCCACAGAGGTGGTTCATCCAGCCCACTGTCTGTTCTTGAAATTTCCACTTGGATTGACTGTCAGCACAAATTTCAGTGAAAAATTATGAGTGTGACCTGCAGGCATCTGCAGGGTAAGGACCCACCGATTTGAGTTTGACACCCCTGATCTATATATCATAATGTAATGGTGGATCCTAGTAATCATTCTAAAGAAACACTCTGAGAGTTTCTTGGTGAAATGTAGAAGAAGAATTCCAAATGTTGTTTCAATTAATCCAACCAAGTTTCAAGTTCACAGGATGAGGTAATACAGAGAAAGCTTGCCAACCACATTAGGAATGGGACAAGAAGGTGGCTTCACTGATGAAAACAGTTTCCTTCTCATCCCTCAAGCCACTTTGAAATTGTTTAGCCTTTAACTGTGAAGTCCATGTTAATATGATATCTGTAAAGGCAATTTTTCGTACAGCTTGCTTGAACATTTGATCAAGGTCAGCTCACTAGGACATTTGCAGGCAGAACTAGTTCATACATTACCTATGACCTAATGCATGCCAAGTTTTCTCTGTATCCCCTCATCTCATGACCCTGAAACTAGACTAGATTCACTTACATACCATTAGGAGAGTTCCTTAATAAACTTCTTTTTGGTGCTTGCTTAGGAAAGCTAGAATGATCCTCCACCTCCTTTTACAAGGGAGTGCTTATGAGTTTTCTCAGTGAAAAGTCATCCTGTGCTATTGAGACTCCAATTAGATGGCATTGCTATACGGTAGTGCAAGAAATTTCATAAAATTGCTTCATTCCTTCTCAGCATTTCTTTTTCCCTTTTTAGTGATGAGAATTTGTCAAGTTTTCCTAGGTATCTACAAACTTAGGTCATTATGCAATAGATTTTTTTAAATAGTTATCTAATGTAACATTTGAATTCAAATTATAACAAATTCATGTTTGCACCAATTCTGTCAAACAGAATTTTGACTAATTTTCACAAACTGAGCCATATATCAAATTGAGTGCAACTGCTTCTTTCATGATCTCTCCTATTCTATATCATTTCCTTTCCTCAATTCAGTCTCCAACATTGTTCTCAAATCAAGAGAAATGACACTGACTTGTCCTACTTCAGCAATGATTATAAAACTGAGGTTAGCATTGACTTTTGTAGTGTTTCCACTAAAAATTAGAAATTCAATGCTTAACTTTCTCAAATTTAGTTAAATTCAGCTAATACTTAATCTTACCATGAGAAGAAAGATTCCATTATCTTCAGAGGTTAAAATAAGGATATCTGATGGTGATAAAAATGTATACAGCCCTTTCCCCAATCCCCTACAGATAGATGGCTTATATTTCCAGCAATGCCAATTCTCTCAAGGTTATTATAACCTGAGTTGGCAATGACCATACCAAAGTAGCACATAATATTGAATTAACATTGATTGAATACAGATTCAATATGCTGATCATGCTGATTCAAGGTCATGTGTTAGGGTGCTAAGGCAGCAGGATAAGAGTATTTTGTAATCTCATATCATGAAAAACTTTCTATGAGACAATTCATTAGTCTCACCTCAGCCCATAGGCATACTGAGTAATTCTCTGGGACAGTGAACACGATAGGAATAATTTTCTTCATGGCTTTACTCAGTCCCTCTTCCACCATGAAATTGAAGGACTCAATGAATGGGGCCCCAAGGTGTGAAATATGCTGAAAAAGACCAAACACAAGTATGTCATTCTGTATGCACTAATTTAAACACAAAAAAATCAGGAAGTCAGTTTACCTCCTTCTCCAGAGGAGCAGGGTTAGAAAATTCTGATGAAGTAATGTATTTCTGGCTGAGCAATGAAGATGCCATTGTCCTGGATGTTTTTCCTGCACATATACAATTTCATTTAATTCAGTCCTATGTCTTCTATTATGACTGAAAGAGAAGGGAGATAAAGTAACAGCCCTGACATTAGAAGAGATATAAATAAAATTCCTGGGGATGAACCAAGAAAATGATGAGGGCTTAGTGTTTGTAACAGTGGTAGCGCAGGTAATGGAATTTGTGTCGATCATCCAAGACTGGAATTTAAAAAATGAGGATACACACTCCCCTCTCATGAAACCATATCTAGGAGCATAGGCTGAATCATTTTTTTAGAAAAGAGAAAAGCAAAGAGAAAATCAGTTCAGAGCATCCATGCAGATATCATCACAAAAAACACTCTGCACTATCTCACGAGGAGCAAGCCTTACCCCTTTGAGGAGTATGCATATACATACAGTCAACTCCACTTAATCAAATACACATGGGACCAGCAAACTTTATTCTATAATCTAGTGTTCTAATAACCGAAACAATCATACTGTACTTCTTCTCTGTACTTCAAGCAACTTTTAAAAGGTATATACTATAGTACAGTACTTGTATTTGTGCATTCACCACTTTTAAGAGTGCATTTTGCCCATTATAGTCAACTCTTGATATACCGCCACTGTTGGTCTTTGCCAATTTTGGCATCATATCAAGGGTGGCACTATATTGAAAAGTGCAGCTTTAAAATAGAAAATTTCTTAAATAACTCAAATGTGAAGTAGAATTAGCAAAAAAAAATCCACTTTAATTCATCTATGCTGTCAATGGAGAACAAAAACTGAAGACAGTGCCTCAAAACTTTCAGGAAACAAATTTTGCGGTGTTTCCAATGTGATACATAAACATGGCTAATTTCATACTTACAACATAGAGGATTTTCATTTCCTTATATATGCAACTGATAATGCATCATGCTCAAAGATGCTATTATCAATTATTACACAGGGCATTTCAAAAGTCAATGTTGCTGTTCAGGCAGCTGTGGATCACACATGAAGTGATGAAAGAGGGGGAAAATTGAGCACCAACTTGTCTAGACTGTGTAACAACTAATGTATGTAAGAAAGTCAGGTGTCGTGATTATACCATCACCATGGGCTCTGCAACCATAACCCACAGTCCAGGCAATTACAGTAATGGTTTAATGTAGGTTCCATTTATGGTTAGAATGGTCTCAGGGTATGGCAGCACATTCTACATAACTATACATAGCATTTCTTGAAGAATGAGATGAATTTTCCACCATATGCTATCTCTCAATTCTAGGAATGTGTTTGGATTGCACTTTTGTGACTTTCTCTTCACTGCAAAGGCATGTGATGTAAGTGGAGCCATCACACCATCTGACTTACTTACATACATTACCTTGTACACTGCCAAATTGGCCTAACACTTGATTTTTCTAATCTTATTTCATTCAATGTGTGTTCCACACCATCCTGAACAGCAAATGTAAGTTTTGGAATGCTTTCAAGGCTCAAGAGTCAAGATTTGGGTAGGGATGTCATGTGACAAGGTAAATCAGGCAATTTCACAATAATTTGAAATTTTATAGAGAAGCACAAGTAACTATTAGCTTTGCAATAAAAATAAGAGAACATAACAAACTGGATTTAGATCCTTTTTAGGAATTGAATGCTATTTTCACTTCCCAGGACTTCCTGTTTTCCTGTTTATGCGGGTTTCCTCAATCCTTGTTTTGAAAACTATTATTCTAGTTTTCAGACTTTTTGAAAGTAATTTCACAGAGTTTCTGATTCTTCGGACAAACTATTGTTCTGAGGGTTAACACATTCACGCCCAGCGACTAAAGAACACTATGGGTTTAAAAACGTAATATTACGGTTCCCGGCGTCAATGGGTTAAGGAAGCCTTTTCTCAAAAGGTGTAATGCCCTTAGGCCTATAGGTCAAAGCCCTATAAACCTGCACTAACATTTAGTGAATGAGATAGGTATAGGCTTGCCTGAGATCAGAATGGAAGTTGAGATGAAGGGATGTCTCAGCCAATCAGTCTATGCCTATACATAGGGGATGTCCCACCTTGATTTCGTTCTCTGCCCCTGTCATGAATCACCTCAATAGCCTTTTATACAGAGGTAGCTATAATGCCTGGAACATTGTCTGACAGTCACAAAATTTCATTGGCTTATCGAATCCAATATAAAATTTGCATGCACACAATTGAAAAATATACTTTTAAAATACAAAATATCAAAGCATACAATCAGAATTGATGGTATTAGTGGCAATGAGAATGTCTTCTATGATCTTAGATGTTTTTCTGGAAAATAATAATTCTGTAACACTTTTGAAACCATGCTGGCAAGAGCCAGCTCCATTTTAAAATTATATTCATGCAGCTTGCAAAACATCTGGACTATGGCCTCCATTGGGTATGAAAATATAGCAAATGCTCACACTACCATGACCTCTCACCTGAGTGGTGCAGAGTGTGTACAGGCATAACCTGCTGTTCAAGGACTTCCAGCCTTAATGACTTTGAAAGTTAACTCCTTAACTGGGAAGTTTTTTTACCATCAGCACAGGGTGACGAGAGAGCTCTACTTTTTTTATAATTCTGCAACAGGTAGAAATTATGGAACCCTATTTACTCTGAGTGTAGACAGGTGTCTGAGGCACTGTCTGCTTATTGGCTTGGCTCATCTTGCCTGAATATATATGAGGATATTCAATTAAAACCTATTGGCAGATTTGCTGATCTGGTATGACTCCTCTCTCATTGGGGATGTAAACTTTCCTACCTGTTTCAGTTTTTCCACAAGAGTAGGACAATTCAACAGTTTAGGAGGTATACTATATATCCTGGAACAACTTTACAACCTCATCCAGGATAGGGAAAATCTTGAACAGCCTTGGATTAGGATCAGTTTCTGGATCAAAATTATTGTTATTGAAGAACAAAAGAGAGAGAAGGTCTTTGCCTTCACCTTGAAATAGCTTTTTTCACAAGACTTATTCAAAGAATGACATCACCATGATTCTTTTCTTGCAGAAATGCATATCATTCATAGACTTCTGCACAATTCCTTGGAAAATTAGTAGACCAATCATATGTTTTCTCTCCTATCCATTTGTGCCCACCTAGTCCTTGTCCCATCTGGGAGGTTGCTATGCACCAGAAGTGGCATATCCTCTTAATTGTTTGTCATAGAGATAGGTTTGCTCTGCTATACTGAAAGCAAGCCCATCAATGAGAGCCTCAAAGACATCAATAGTGTCATTTTCTGGCACAAAAATTTATCAGGAAACCATTCTGAATTGAATATTTAACCCTTTCAGCATCATCCCGAGTACTTACTCGGGATGCGCCTGTGTGCTTTCCTGCTGGATAACGATTTGGGTGGATGCTAAAAGGGTTAAAGGGCGGGCATTCCTCAACCACATGGACCTGGTCCAGGTAAGTACATCACAATCACCACCTTTGTGAATCCCTATGTCCTCGCTTCCATCGTCTCCTCTTACATCATTTGATGCTTCTTCATAGTCTTCTTCAATTGAATCTTCACTCTTGACAATCAAAAGCAAATTTATTAAAGACCAGTGAGTTTGTTTGCCCTTCAGACAAACAAACTCACTAAGATACCCCAGGGGGGTCTGAATTTTGAAACGCCACTAGTCTATGACCATCCCTGGATCAAATGAAGAAGCCCTACAAAGTTTTGTTTGACAGGGATCAGAGGCATGGCCATGCATAAAGATCAGACAGACGCATACAAATTCTGAAATATATAACAGTGAATATAGATACTGACTCTATGATGCTTGTCTTCAAGTACTCCTTCCACGTGATGATATTACAGTTAACAGCTGACTTAATCAGGCAGAAAATACATCCTGATATTTGACAGCTACATGGAAAGGCTGAAGATGAGTAGCCACATCCTGTCAGAAGGTTGCAAGACACACCTAAGCCACCCCAAGCGAATAATCCCCAGAAATGCAGAACATACTTGCAGAAACATTTAAAGACGTCTTCCCCAGTTAAGGGGTTAAGGTTCAAGGTCTAGGTTAGAGCTTTAGAACATAAGTTTAATGCAAGGTCATGATCTTGGCCAACAGTCTGCATCAGAGTATCAAATCATTCTCAGAGTCTGTGATCAAGGGACGAGTACTTGGATTTTGCCCAGGTCAAAGCCTAAAAAAACTCATCTAGCTATGAAGAACATCCTTGAGCAAGGCAGAGGCTATTTTTTCTGTCATGAACAGGAATAAATGCCAATACCAGAAACCATGAAATTCCAGTTTTAGAAACTGCTGCATTTTCATTATTCAGAGTACTTATGGAGCTACCTAGGCACAGAATTTACCTCTGAAACAAGACTGATTACTGCTTTAATGCTTCAACTCAGGCAATCTATACAGTAACGTCTATCTTAGTGATGAGATGTTGACTGGTCAACATGGTTATTTATGATGATATACAGTCATGAGGCCTAACCCTTGTTAGGCTGGTTGACCATTATTGTCAGTAAATGACCAGAAATGACCATGCTGACCAGTCAACTTCCCACACCTAGCCTATCACTGAGTCATGACACACAAATGGTTCACAAACTGTGCAGGATAAAAACAACAAAATAAATGTTGGCCTTATTGACCATAGTTGACAATATTGGCCAGTCAATAGACATGATTTTAATTGACCAGTCAATAACCCATCCTTACATACATTCTTTTGGTAAAACAAGAAAAAACATGTACAGTTGACTCAACATAATGGAATACCGCTTAATGGAATACTCCACTCATTAGAATTCCACTGCACAGTCCCAATCTACAATACGATACAACAGATAGTTTTGAATATTTGAATACTCTGGATTATAGAATAAAGTTCACTGGTTCCAGGAGTATTCCAATATGCAGAGTCAACTGTAAATATATTTCAAATTTAAAATGCTGTTCCCAACTTAATGGGGTCAAAGTTCTTCCAGCCATTTCCTTCAAATACTTACACAGATAAGATGAGCA